AATTGTCATGAGAGTGGGTAGCATCACTCAGAAGTGTGCAAGCAATAATTCGTAGACTATCATCTCTATGTAGCAGCTAATGAGAGAATAGGAGCAACAAGCTAAAGCATTATCTGTCGGGTGGGAAACTTCAAGAAGAAAAAGCTGTGAGGTATTGCTCTAGAGAGGTTCCCCCACTTGGTAAACAAACATCATAGAAAATCTAACTTTCTACTCCCTTACCTAGCAAAAGGGTAATCACTAAGTACCCCTCCTGGCTTACTCAAACTTACATGAATGCAGTGAATAAACTGAAAAGAACTCGGACTTTTTTTTTTCTTTAAAGAATGATACGTAAATATGAGATTCCATAATTCTCTTCTGTATGACAAAGGGCAACCAATACTGGTAACTGTACAAACTTTATAAGCAATTTTGTTTAAAAATTGACTCTGTGCTTAAGATGAGGTTAACTTTCTCTAAAAAATAACACCCCAGATCTTGATGGAATGCTGGTAGGGGAAGTTGGAGGTAGAATAATTTCTTTAATATCTATCTTTGTTTTCAAATGATTAATTTTTGTGTAGCTTAAGCAGATTAGCCCAGCCGGACACTTACATCATCCTTATAGGCATATTAGGTACTGCTTATGATTGAGATACCAAGGTCTGATCTCAACAGAGCTGTCTGGGAAGGGTGTCAGAGCTGTCTCTCAGGCTCTGAGAGAAGGTGGCCAACATGACAATAGACAAAAAGAGACAGAGATCAAGACAGAGACAGAGACAACATCAGGCAAAATACTTTATTAAACCACCAAGTTCTCAAGCCACCTAGTTTCACTCTCTCAGCAACTGTTGAACCAGGCTTTAACCTCAAGGTAAATAAGCCGACCTATTCATTTTGCAATCCCTTCAAGTCATCTAGTCTTAAGGGAGAGGTTCTGGGGTTGATCTAATTTGTTACTCTCCAGATTTTTTTTTGAATAAATTCTTTAGGAGCATGCCACAGGTGTAACGAGAAAAATATCCTGAGAAGTGGAAAGAAGAGTCTGTGTTTCAATGTCAAAAACATGAAAGGAGTGGAATAAAAGAAAATCGGGGACAGGCAGCGCTTGAGGAAGCTGCAGACAAAGAGAAAATGGTGAAGGTGGGGGTTGGGGAGAGATTTCCTTTTCCTTCTCTGACCAGGCTCACAAAACTTGATTTTTTTTGTTTGCTTTTTTAGTTTTCAGAGTCGTGATTTCAGATTTGGCTATAAAATAAGCCCTTGCTTTGCCACACGCAGTACGAATTCTGCTCCCTGCTTATGCAAAGTTTCGAATGAAACTGGTGATCTTGATATCACCATTAAAAATAATCATAATGGAATTGTTCACATTCCTAACTCCAATTCACATAATCCCACCAAGTGGCTGGTACTTGTATAAGTGCATGTACAGGTTAGGAGACCAAATAATTTTGTGTTTTAAATGCATATATGTACACCAGATGAAAAATTACTATGGGAAGGAAAAACACTTATAAGAAAATTAAACATACCAGCAAATCCAATATATTATTTCAAAGTTTACAGCTCAAAGAATGGAAGACTGATGAGGTAAAATTTGCACAGGCAAGAAAGCACCCCAAAGCGACCCCGCAATTTGAAGCCTGCAAACGTCTTCGAAAATATCAGTCACTAGTGTTAATCTTTGGCTGACTTGAGCTGTAGACAAGCAAGAGGGCTACATCTTGCGTATACTTCCAAATGGGGTCCCACCCAGTGTGGCTATTTGGTCCTCAGGTGTTGACTGTTGGGATCCAGACAGAACTTACCATCTATTTGCTGACCACAAAGAAAAGATGCTTCTTGCCAAAATACTGGTTCTTGAAGCCTATGGACAGAAATAGTCTGTCTTGGTTTCAAAGCAAAATTCTGCTTTACAAGACAAACTGTTCCTTGTAAGATAGTCATAAAAATGCTTGATAACTGAGAGGAGAGACGAGAAGGAAAGAGGAATTCCAAAATGCCTTATTTTGAAAAATCTAATAGAGAAAGGGAGCAAGACTTGTCAATATCAAAGCGCTACTAAAATACTACCTACTATGTATTTTAAGACCAGAACAAATTACCAAGAGAAAAATTAAAACGTTCCTTTTGCATGGGGATAATTTCTCTAAACCCCAAAATCTAATTCCTGCGTGCACTCTCTTAGAATCCAATTTTGTCATATTATTGTGCTGCTTGCGGGAATATAAGGAGCCCTGCTTCTGCCAAGTGAGCCAGTGGTCAATTAACAAAGTTGCAGTCCTGTTTGATCTCAGAGAGAAGACAGATAGCTCCATAAAATATCATCAGGGTTGCACATAAGTCCCATCACTTTTTATTGTTCCTTCTGTTCACACCACATGCTAAATTAAGTTAAAGAGACTACCTTTGCATCTCTCCTTCTCTTGGCAAAAATATTGTGAATGTATAAGAACACAGAGTTAAGTGTAGATGTTACTAAGGTTTTAAAAAATGTCCCTCCAAAAAATTAACTAATGTGCATAAACACACACATGATTAGAAAAGGGAGGAACCCAACAGGTCATTGTAGCCCTGTACATATTTGAGATTTTTTTGCTCAAAATTGGCAAATAATGCATGCAATACAGAGAGGAAAGACACTCTTGCTTTGGCTTAAAAAACCTCTTGCCTGTCACCAAATTTTGCCCCTACAAAGTGAGGGGGGGAAAAAAAGTATGAAAATATCAACTTTCAGATTGGAATTAACTGCATTCTGATGAAATTAATTTTCAATAAACTGACTCAGGATTTTCTATATCCTAGAAATGGAAAGTCTTCATCAACTCACAAGACAGGAACACCAGTTTTCCCTTTAACTAGTCTCTTCATAATCAGTGCAGCAATCACGAACCAGAAAAAATTAAATAATCTTGTACTTTCTGCAGGAACTGCTAAATTCTCATTAGCTGATGTCATTATTTAAGCAGGTCACCAAGATATGTTAGTCTTCCTCATAAAGAAGATTTTTCCATTAAGACCTGAAATAAAATCACCAAGCTCACTGTCTACCATATGGGAATAACTTTTGCTCTCTATAGTTATTTCCTAAAAATTTTGGTTTTGTCTTTGAAGGCACACATTTTTTTTTTTAACAAGTACGTGGAACCATCAGTTTTTTCCCTGGTAAGTCAGTAAGTTGTGGGGAGGTATGCAGACGACGGAAGGTTCCAGTGACTGAGTTTAGTACCATGGCAGGTCGAAATGCACCTTAGACATTTTCCCCCAAGAAAAGTTTACAGTAGAAGAGGGCCTCCACCCTCTAGTGACAGCCCTAGAAAAAAATTAACCCTACCAAGTAAATTTATTCTTATAAATCAAGAATACTTTTTGTCCCATAGCATAAACCCATTACAAAAATAAACAGTCTAAATTAACCGGAGAAGACTTTGACAGTATCAAAGGAATCCTTTGGAAATCTTGTAAACCAAATATTCAAAACGTAATGGAATGTGAAGCCTGGTAAAATGTGGTTTCTTCAACAGCCCAGGAAATAATATTTTATGAAATCCTACCCTCCTCCTTCTTTCTTTACTAACATTGTGCTATCTACCTTGTAAGAAGGAAAGCATCAGTGAAAGAAGGCAAATTGCTGGATTTAAGTCGCCAAAGATGTTAAGGCTAACAAGGAAATTTTGGAGAAGTCACAGATAAAAGAAAACAGTCATAGAAACAAAGAATAAGACACAAGTCCACAGAGACATCAGCACCTGGCCGACCTGAGGAATTGATTCCCCAAGTGAGTATGTCCTCCCTCACCAAATACACTAATATCTTAATTTTCTGGGGGAGAATATCTTCAGCATGGTCTCCAAGAAGCTCAACAACTGCGGTGAGGAAGAATTTTTAATAAGCACAATGCAATTGCCTGCCACTTTTTTCATATGCTAATTAAAACTTTGGGGTAAAATTATGGCTCATGGGTCACTAACAGTTCTTATTTTGTTAGAGCTAACAGCACGTATTCTAACATGCAAACATGTCCTTAAAATGAAAGAATATAATAAAAAACCTCACTCCTCCCTCCCCAGTGGAGATTTTGGAGTACACTGGAATAGCAGGAAATGCTTTACAAAAAAATGTTTTCCAACACTTTTCTAAATCAGACTCAACCTGATTAAACTGTACATTAAAAGAATATTCTCCTCTTTATAGATCTCATGCAAACCTGAAGTAGAGGGCTGTGGATGTATTGTAATCCACAGAGAAAACAAACACTTTGTAAGAGAAAACCGACCCAAGCAATTCCTTTCAACATAGTCAACCAACGTTGAGAAACTGTGGGTGCAAATCCTGTGGAGTCTTTACCAAGAAAGTTGCTCCTCTGCCTACTCTAAACGTGACGGATTGGATTATCTCTACTGACCTTCAGCTCTGTAGAAAACCCCAGTTGCTTCCGGGGAAAGAAGTTCACCCCTTCACACAGCAGCCCTCAGCACTTAGAGACCACTTTCTTTCCTTAACCACGAATCTTTGGATGAGGCGCGCTGGAAAGCGTTTGGGCCAGGCTTTTTGACTCTAATCTGCGCAGGCTGAAAGGGAAATCCTAGCAGACCCTAAGAGGAGAAATTGCCTAAATTTCTGAGGTTCTCTGACTTTGAAGACGGAAAGAAAGAGTGGAGGGCTCGGGAGCTTTACCTCTGAAGGTGGCCTGTGCAATAGGATTTAAATTTGGGACCTTGAGTACCAGGAAGTAGCGAGAATTTGGGGCCGTTGGGGGAGCTGAAGAATCTGGGAGGGCAGGAATCAGCACCCAAGGCACGCAGTAGGAATTAGGGGAGGTCAGGTTAAGCCTCTGGCAGGCCAGGAGTCCCGGGAGAGCTCTAGATTTAGAGCAGCCCTCCTATGAAACCCTGCTGAGCTCTCCCAGGGGTAATCTGAGTGTTCACGCAGGTAGGAGCCGCTAGATACCCCAGAACGCAGAACGACTCTGCGCTCTGGGCCGATCGGCGACATTTCTGGAAGGAGAAACTTACCGCATGTCCCCGTAAGGTCCGGAGTAGCTATCCATCCAGGGGCCCATCTCGCTTTTGACACAACTGGGACTGGGATAGGGCACTCTGCTCACCACGCCGCCAGGGTACCACACATCGGGTGCAGGGAAGTCGCCTTCCTGGCTCGCCAGCCCCTGAGGCGGCCGAGTGTAGCCATAGGGGGCTACAGCTCCTGCCTCGCCTGCTCCTCCTCCTCCTCCGCCGCCGCCGCCGCCGCCGCCGCCGCCGCCGCCGCCGCCGCCCCCACCACACGGCCCATACAACTGGCCTTCTTCGGCTGTGAAGAGAGTGTGCCAGGATGAGGAAGCGGCGGCTGAGGGTGACCCAGAGCCGGATCCCGCTGCACCCGCGCCATGCAGGCTCGCCAGGTCTCCATAGCGGCACTGCGCCGCTGCAGCCGCCCAAGCGCTGCCGTAGTCCAGCGGGTTCTCCAGCTTGATTCGAGCGTGGGGATGGGGAGGCGGCGGAGGGGGCGGCGGCCCGGCCAGAGCCAGCGGAAAGTTGTAGTAGTCGCGACTTTGGTAGGCGGCTGCCTCATCCAGTGCTCCGGACTTGTAGAGTGACAGAGCGGATGGCAGTTCAAGTGTCCCGGAGCTCCCTGCTGCACCGCTGCCAGAGCAGCCCAGGCTCTCGCCTTCTAGTCCTTTGGTGTAACCTCCCTTGAAAGGGGAATACTCAGCAGTATCTTCAGTGCTCTTGCCTGCGCTGTCGTCCAGCAGAGAACCTTTGCATTCGGCCAATGGGGTACAAGGAGTGGGACGCACAGCGGGTGGAACTCCCAGAACTGAGGCGTACATGCAATCCCCCCGAAGCTGATCCCCAGGACTCAGATGCTCCAGTGCCTCCACACCCAAGCCCATGGACACCGACACTGCCTTACACAACTCCTTGGCGCTGTCAGAGATGGTCGAAGTGCCCCCTAAGTAATTGTCCTTGGAGGAAGTGGGAGCCCCCGAGGCCTCCCTCGCTCTCCCGCTGCTGCTACCTTCGGATACTGCTTCCTGCTGCTGTTGCTGAAGGAGTTGCATGGTGCTGGCCTCGTTCAGGATGTCTTTAAGGTCGGCGGAGCAGCTGCTTAAGCTGGGGAAAGTGGGGCCCAGCAGGGACAACGTGGATGGGGCAGCTGAGTCATCCTCGTCCGGAGGTGCTGGCAGCTGCTGCGGCAGCCCCTTGCCGGCGGCAACGGCGACTCCAGGCTCTGGGACACAACCTCTCTCAGGGTGGCACTCTGGCGCTGACTGCGGCTGTGAATGCTGCCGTTCCTCATCCAGGGCCAGGTAGCCTCTGGGGCCTCTACCATGGGCTTGAGGAGAACCATCCTCACCCTGCTGCTGCTGCCGGGGGCTAGTCTGTTGCTGCTGCTGCAAACTGGCACCTGGAGGTGCTGCGCTCGCGGCCTCTGGGTGCCTGGTGCCCGGGTTCTGGATCACTTCGCGCACGCTCTGGAACAGATTCTGGAAAGCTCCTCGGTAGGTCTTGGACGGCGGCCGAGGATAGACCCTCCCCAGCCCTAACTGCACCTCCATCCTTGAGCTTGGCTGAATCTTCCACCTACTTCCCTTAACTCGCCTCCCCTTCTCTTGCTCAGAAGAGTTCAACAGGCTGTGATGATGCGGTAGTCGCTGCAGCTAGCTGCCCACCTGCGGGAAGCTCCAGTAGAGGAAACTTGCGGGAGCAACCACGCAAAAAGCGCTCTGACAGCCTCAAAGTCTCGTGCAGAAGAAGACAGACGGTGAACAAGATCTGCCCTGCTAGGCTCACAGTCAGTCTCTTAATACTTGAAGGGTAGATGATGCTCAAAAGAAAAAACAAACTTCTCCACCTCCAAATTCAGTGTCTACTGAAGTAGGTGCAAATAAGAACCGAGTTATCTTTTTCTTTTGTTTCGGCTTTTTGTTTTTTGTTTGTTTTGTTTTGTTTTGTTTTTGGCTACTGTCTTTTCATCTTTTGCTCTCTGGCTCCGCACTGGGGGTAGGGAAGGCAGGAGGACGTAGGGAGGGAGTAGGGGGAAACAGAGGATTCTCTCCGCTTGCAGCCTACCCGGGCAGGTCGTGGCTGCAGTGCCCAAGCCGCTCCCCAGTCGCCTGGCTCCCAAGAGCCTTCTTTGCAATGTGCAGCTAGCTCGCCCGCTCGCAGCCAAAGGGAGTTACCTCTCTGCAAACTCGGGCTGGCAGCGCTGGGCCGACGTGGGGCGGGGGAGAGGGGTGGTGAGGGGGGTTGGCGGGGAGTAGCCGACTGAGGCAGCTGCGGGAGAGAAGCGGGGGTGGGTGCGGGGGGGGAGGCGGGGTTGAGAGGAGGAGGACAAAGGCAGCCGTCAGTCCTACCAGGCACTTTCCTCGCGAGTCTTTAGCAGCTTTTAAAAACTTCACCGAAGAGGAAAGGGCAGCTCAGGGGCGGCGGCTTCGAAGCCGCCGCGCTGCAAGAGGCGTTGGCTGTCGCCGGAGCCGAGCTGGGGCTGGCGTGGTGCGTCCCTTCGGCTCCTGTACAGCACTGGAGCTGCTAGCTCGGCCGTTTTTCTCTCTGTCGCCTCCTCCACCTCCGGGCTTGCTCCGGACCGTCCCGCTCTCCCAGCTAGCTGGCTCCCCGGGATCTCGGAGGGGGCGCTGGGAGGTGGAGAGCAAATGCAACAGTTAGCGAGTCGGGTCCCGCCCCCGCCGGGCCGGCCTCCTTGCCTTCCCACCTCCTTTTCCCTTCCCTCCCCTTTCCTTTTCTCCCCTCCCCTCACCGCGCGCTAACGCCTGCCCAGTGGCTTTGGAGAAACAAGTGCTGGTGCAGCGTGGGCGAGGGCAGGAGAGGCTAGCTCTAGCCCTGAAGGACCCCTACTTCCTGAATATCTCCTGCTTTCCTAAACCAAGGTTTAGGCGCCAGGGCTCCAGATTTCCTGGAGGCCAGCACTCACCAAATTTGGTTCCGAAGCCCAATCTGAAAAACCGACGGGGTGGAGGGGAGAGAGGGAGGAAAAGGACTATGGGAATACCTGCTTCTAATGGCTGTCAGTGGTTCTTTTCAGTACTGATAAGAATGCGCAGATCGGAGAGTCTCCTACAAACTGAAGAGCAAGCCACGAGCAAGCCAGCAGATACTTGCTGAAACCTTAGATTCCATCATAGGGATAGATTGGGCCTCATGGCATTGTGCCATTTGCTCTAGGAACCCTCAGCCCCAAGAATCAGAGGTCATTTCTACACTCTTCTCTGCCTTTCTTCCTCCCTGGAATTGCATTTAATCATGTATTTATCATCCAGACTTGCAAAGGAAAAAATCACCTAGACAAGCAGGCAAACACACAAACACTAAAAACACTTCCCATGTACACAGTTTTGTCCAGAGCTTTGCAAAGATTTGCTTTGTATGCAGGAGCTTGCTTTTCCAAGTTGCCTTTGCATATTTTAAACTTCCCAACTGGAACTATCCAAGGATAGAATCTGCATAGGGCTGCTTTTCGCCTCTTGATGGACAGCCAGGAGTGAAGGATGATGTGGGTTACTGCAACTGCCATTTTGTGGAGGAGGTCCCATAAGCCCTGTGTAAAGATGGAGAGGCAGGTGGGAATGGAAAGAGAGAGGAGACAAAACAGTTGACCTAAAAGGAAAACGACTTTCTTTTATGTCAGTAGGGACCCTGGGCCTCCCTATGTTGTAAATTTCTTAGACTTCTAGATCTGGGGAGGGTCTCTGTTCCAAAGTCATTCCATGGGAGCTTATGGGAGATTTTTACCTCTGCCTCTTTCGCTTTTTACAGTCTTCTACAGAGAAAAGAGTGGTTGTAGCTTTATCTTGCGCACAGCCAAACATCATAGGCATTTACTTACCTTGACCAAAGAAGGTAACTCAAACCTGAAGGCAAAAAAGACTGCATATGATAGGCTTTATTTCACAGATGAACTGGCTGAAAACAAGGACATAATTTGTTCTATGTTGCACATGAGTAAAACCTAAACTAGTCTTCCTGCCCATTGCTATTTGAGCTAGACTCATCAATCTCATGGTCATTTGGGAAATGGCTATAAATTAACCTTCCAGAACACAAAGATCTGAAGACTCTTTCACCTGAGGAGGTGACAAGTTATTCCCTTAGATTTTAATGGGTATAGCCTTCCTTGAATATACCCCAACCATATGTAACTAGAATGCATAGATACTTCAACCTTATTTGAATACTCATTACAACATTCAGTCCCACCAAAGCTTTCAACTAGCATTACTCAATAGGAATTGAGTGGGCTGGCATGATGGTAGAATGGAATTAACATAGATCTGAGAGCCAGGAGAACTGTCTGTCTACAGATGAGGAACAGTGAAGGAAGGTGCAAAAGTCACTGAATGAACAACGGACATGAATGAGGAGGACATATAGATGCAAAGAGGCCGGAAATAAATCAAAGTGAGAAATAATGCTCTGAAGTTACTCTCAATAAAAAGCGGTCTGGCATTTGAACCTGGGACTAAAGGACTCCAAAAGTTATGTTGCTTCCACAGCACCACCATTGTCTTCACAGTTTACACATCTGAAAAGTGTTTTGCCAATATCAGTTACCCTCAGAAGGCTAATGTATCATTTAAAAGAAATAATGTGTATAGAATAAGTTTGTAAACAGGAAAACATTCTACAAATCTGAAGGATTGCTATGTTTCTTTGTATTTTTAAAGACGGTGTTGTCAACAATTACATCATTATCAGGAAAGGTTATTAGGGCCATATGCTTTATTTAGATTTTGAACTCTGATCTTCCACCTCAAATCTAATTTTCTTCCCATTGCTTTCAAGAACAGGAGACAGCTATTTAATAATATTATATAAATTCACTGTTTGTACCGGCTTTCTTCTTCTTTCTCCTCCTGTTCTTCTTTGCCTTTTTTTTTTTTTTTTTTTTTTTTTTAGTAATCAAACAGAACCAGAGGTGTTCTCTCAGATTAATCAGGTTGAGAGTAAGTTTCTGCTATAAGCTTCCTCTGCAACTTCAAGAGGGCTTTATTAATGAAGTCTTTCTTAGCTCTTTGCTCTTGAAAGCCAGGACGAGCTGACCTTTGGAAAATGGTGAACGTTGGGTTTTATTTCTCAAGTATCTCACACATTTGTCCACTTATTTCATCTCTGCTGTTGCCGTCCTAGTTCACTCCCAGAAGGCACAATTCTTTTCCAGCTGGAGGACTGCAAATGGTTTCCTTCCTTCCACTCTTACTTTCCTAGAATCAGTTCTGCATTGTGCAGCCAGAGGGTATTTTTTTAAATAGCCATACTGCAGTATAATTGATATATACAATAAACTGCACATTTTTAAAGTTGCACAAATTGATCTTTTTGACGCATGCATGCACTCACGAAACCATCACTCAATCAAGATAGTGAATGTATCTATGATTCCAAAAGTTTGTATTGTGCCACTTCGTATATTTTTCCTCCACCTCTCCCATACTCCTTCTCAGGCAACCATTGATCTGCTTTCTGTCAGTATAGACTGTTTTTCACTTTCCAGAGTTTTGTATCAATGGAACCATACCGCATGTACTCTTTTATTTTTATTTGCATCGTTCACTGAGCACAGTGTCTTTGATATACATTTAAGCTGTTATGTGTATCATTAGTTCATTCTTCTTTATTGCTAACTAGTATTCTACTGCGTTGCTGTACTACACTTTGTTTATCCGTTCATTTTTGATGGACATTTGGGTTTTCAGTTTGGGGCTACTACAAATAAAGCTGCTATAAATATTTGTATAAATGATTTTGTATGGACATATTCTTTCATTTCTCTCGGGTAAGTAGTTAGCCATGGAATGGGTGGGTCACAGGGTAGGTGTATTTCTATATTTTTATGACACTGCCAAATTGTCTTCCTAAGTGACTGTACCATGTTACATTTCCACCTTAGTAACACTTGGTATGGTCAGTCTTTTCAATTTTAGTATTCTAATTAGAGGTGTCTTTCCCATTTAATTTTCATGTTTCCAATGAATAATGATATAGAGCATTTTTCATGTGCTTATTTTACAATTGTATAATTTCTTGGTGTTTTTTTTTTTCTTTTTTTCCTTTCTTTTTTTTTTTTTTTTTTTTTTTTTTGAGACGGAGTTTCGCTCTTGTTACCCAGGCTGGAGTGCAATGGCGCGATCTCGGCTCACCGCAACCTCCACCTCCTGGGCTCAGGCAATTCTCCTGCCTCAGCCTCCTAAGTAGCTGGGATTACAGGCACGCGCCACCATGTCCAGCTAGTTTTTTGTATTTTTAGTAGAGACGGGGTTTCACCATGTTGACCAGGATGGTCTCGATCTCTTGACCTCGTGATCCACCCGCCTCAGCCTCCCAAAGTGCTGGGATTACAGGCTTGAGCCACCGCGCCCGGCTTTTCCTTTCTTTCTTTCTTTCTTTCTTTTTTTTTTTTTTTGGCAGAGTTTCACCATGTTGGCCAGGTTAGTCCTGACCTCGTGATCCGCCCACCTTGGACGCCCAAAGTGCTGGAATTACAGGTATGAGCCACTGCACCTGGCCTTTTTTTTTCTTTTTCTTTTTTTAGAGACAAGGATGA